AATCTGTCGCAGATCAGTGCCTCTTGTTATGAACATACCAATGAAACAAAAGATCTATGCAGTCACAGTAATTCAATTTAAAAGTTAAATCTGCCTAAAATAACTTGTGATGATTTTTCAAGGGGTGCTCTGAAGCCCTATAGCTGTAATTAAACTTTCAGCTTCTTAGAAATCGGTGAACAAAATTACAGGCTAAATTTTGGAAAATCAAGAAAAATCTCTGATATTCCTTCTCAAACTGAAGACACTAATTGAGCATATGACTCACCACAGCTTTATGTCAGTATAAATATCATTGATTTCTTTGGAACTACATTAGCATAAAACAGATGTAATGTGTTGCAGTGGATAAGGCAGGAGTTTATGGCAAAATTATGCTACTTCTACTAAAACAAATGATTGCAGCAGATATTCCTTGGCTCCGTTTATTCACAGTTGACTGTGATACCTTTCTTGTAAAAGCTCTACTGTTTTGTTTGGCTTTGTCTAAACAAATGAAGTTCTGCAAAGCAACAACATGCATAAGAAATATCTGTTCTGGATTTTAGTAGGAAAGGAAATTTTACTTGAGGATTGTTATTTAGCAATGTATTGGGGGTGGAAAGATAAAGAAAAAGCCCAAACTAAAGCCAAAAATATCTAGTTTAATTCATTACGATACAACAGAATTTTGATTTCTTCTTTAGATTTTGTTGGGTTTTTTTTTTTCATTTCATTGCATACATAAAGATTTGGTAGGATATAGTTGTTTTTACATACTTTCTGTGTCGCTCTTAAACCCTTTCCAAGCTTTAGATTGGGCAGCATTTAGTTCATGATTCATTCAAAAGTTTCCTAGCAAATGTTTTTTTGTTTTCTGTTTTGAATATCTCTAAGTAGGACAGTTTTAGGAGAAGAGTTCACTTGTTTGTTCTGAAGAATGCCTTTTTCAAGGAGTGGTTTGAGTGGTTGGTTTTGTACCTCTTTCAACACTTAAAGCTAGTCCAAGATGAAAAAGTGGAAAAGAAAGAAGTGGCCATGCATTCTGCCAGGGCATTTGTGTTTGGCAATTGGTGTTTGGGGCGGTCTTATTTGCTTTTCATTTTCTCTTTGTGTGTGTGTTTGTGTGCGTAGAGGGGAGATTTTAGATAGCATTGCCTGCTTGAGTTGATCTTGTAGGGAGATGGGCACTATCAGAAAATGATTAACTGTCACTTTGCTGTTTACCAAGCTTCTTCCCAATAAAGATCCACAAAAAAGGCTTAAGAAAAAGAAGATGCAAGAGATAACTTTGCTAGAAAGGGCCTGGATGCATCAACAAAAAAGAGTTAAGGATGCCATATAGGAAAGATGCATTTTTTGCTCTCTTTAACTTTCTGCCTCAGTTTTGAAGGCCATTTAAAAACTCATAAGCTTCTTTGCCTTATAAAAGTTTGAGGTCTTTCTTGGAGAAATTTTTGAGCTGACAACATCCTATAATTAAGGACAGCCTCAACCTTAAGTGAACTGCCTCGGCAGGAAGTTTTCACATTCAGGCTGTGTTTGAGGGCATTGTTTAGGAAACAGCTCTGTAAGCCTCTGCCAGAAAGAGAAAAAAAGTCCAGCAACATTCATTTCCTTAAACAGACCTTTAACAGGGTTTTTTAGCAGCACGATGGACATAGAAATAAGAGTTGAACTAGGAAAAGAATAATTCAGGAAAAATAATAGGTGTACGAGGATGGCTGTACTCTGAAACAGAAAGTTCCATTTCCTGTACCAAAACCAGATTTTTGTGAGAACCTTGAAGTCTTTCTGCTTTGATTTTTCTTTCATTAAAATTAAACTTTCATGTCTCTGCAAAAAACATCACTTTTTGCAAACTAATAAAATGAAAGATTTCAGCAAGAATACAAAAATTCAAGTGAAAGAAATAAACATAGTCAACTACACAGAATTAGTACATTAAATACTTGAGACCCAAAAGTACTTTACTTTCTTTTGTGAATTAGGTTTTTTCATGTTTTTCAAATGTTTTCTTTCATATTATAACTGGATAGAAATTCTTAGATGACTTGTCAATAGATTTTAAATAAAAATCCAGTAGTATCTTCCTATTAAAAAATAGAAAAGTTCATAAAATGCTTCTAAGGAAATTTCTGATACCTTATTGACCTAATCAGTAGCAAATATTTACAGCCAAGATCATTGAAGAGAAAAGGTTTAGACTGAAGAAAAAAGAGTTGTGATAATTTTTAACATTAGACAATCATGTAAATAAAAATATAAACAAAATAAATTAAGAGGATATTTTATTTGTTTGATTTGTTGGGATTTTCTGTCTCTTTTCTAAGTAGATCAACTTGGCTTTGTTAATTGTCTTCACAAGTATCTTCACTTTTCCATCCTATTTTTCACTATTGTTTTATATAAACGCAGAGGAATAATCTGAATGGCTGCTTTAAAGGTTTCCCCTTCACACTCAGACACATGAACTTCCCTCAAGTTCGACAAGTCCTCACAGGCAGACACTGCGGCCATGAACACATCAAAGGAATGTTACTTACACATTGAATTTGAAAGTTCCATGAACTTCCTTATCTCCCACCAACACTCCTTTCACTCGAGAATTGGCAGCCGTAGTGCTTCACGGTGTTCAAAAATTGCTCAGCAGTGGTGCTTCTTCCACTGCTCAAATCAGATGTTTATACCATTGGTACATCTCACCATTAGGCACCTTCACTAAATGTATCTTTACAGGTTCAGAAGACACTCATTACACACATATAATCTCCCTGAAAAAGCTGTGAAAATGCTCTTCTCTTAGTGCCCTCTAACCTTGACATCACAGTGCCATAGCTTAACCCCATCCCGGAGCTCATCCCCACACAACCACTTCCTCACTCCCCAGCCAGTGGGATCAGGGAGAGAATTGGAAGGGTAGAAAAGCTGGAAAACTCATGGATTGAGATTAGAGAGTTTAATAGGAAAAGCAACAGATGTGTATGTGAGCAAAGGAAATCAAGGAGTCCATTCCCCACTTCCCATAGCAGGCGTGTTCAGCCATCTCCAGGTGCATTGGGTCTGGCTGAGATGGAGGCAGTTCTTCCATAGCAGCACTCACAGTGCTCTGAGGGACTGATGGTGCCTCCACCCACCAAACCACACCCTCTGGACAGATCCCTGGGGATACCTGGAACTGTGAGCTCCCTGCCATGACAGGAACTAGAGGTGCCATAAAGGTGCTGCTATTGTCTGAGTGCTACCTCAGACCTAGGGGGAGGCGCACTGGTGAGCGTTTGCGCGTGAATTGCTCGCCTCTCTTGTACACTTTTGCTATTAATATTGTTACTGCTACTGTTTGTGTTCTTATCTCATTGCTGGTCCCAGTAAACTGTTCTTACCTCAACCTGTGATCTTTACCTCTTATGCCTTCAATTCTCTCCAGCCCAATGCAGGGGAGGGGGGGTATGAGAACACTAAATTGGAGAACACATTCCTAAACCACAACACTGACACATTGAGGTATTTATTCAGTGTTATGTTATGATGAATAGCAAAAAATATAAGTAATTTTCCAGTTTCAAAAATGCGGAAGAATCTACATTTATTTAAGATTCCTGAATTCATATCTTCTTGCAAATGTGTGTGGGTTTTTTTTGTTGAACTATATTATCATAAAACTATGATTTATATAACATTACCTCTTGCAGGCCAGTATGTTTAGGAATAAAAAAATTATTAAGAAGTTGAGCAGGTAGATTCTATTTCTTTATTTTTCTACATTTGGAAAAGTCTTTAAGGTTCAATTTTTTCCCTCTCTGAATCATCTTTTTCAAGATATCCCCAAAATGTGACCATATTTAATTTACAAATATTTTCTTTCTCTTTGTAGGAATGTTTTTTGTCCATTTAACTTGTCCTTTGAGATGAAAGAATACATACTGAAGAATCCTATCCCTTATGTTACTGAATAAGGCATGCCTATAGGTTAATCCTGTTTGGGGTGTTTGATTGTTCAATTAAATTAGGTGCAGAATAGGAAAAGGCAAATTGAATTATTGTGCCTTTATCCATCTGTACCACTCAGCCATCCCACTTAAAAGAACAGAGAATGCTGCATGGAAAAATATTTTTCTTGACTGTGGACCCTTATCCATAGAGAAAAAGTAACATCCCTCGTCACTGAATTTTTGCTCTGGATTAGTTAACCTGGCTTCTGCAGGGTCAGGGCTAAACTACAGGGGTGCTCACAGCAGGTGTGAAATTGCTAAATCCTCCCTCCTCCCAGCCCAGTCGCTTCATTACCTTCACTGAAAAGTCAGTGCAACTAAAGAGCTTTTTAGCCCTGGCCATTTTCCAGTTGGTCATATTTGCTGGTAAAGAAATGGTAGCTGGGGTGGTTTGTTCCCCTTCTGGGTGTCTCCTACTTCACTGCACTGCCACACTCAAGGCCTTTCTTTCTGGTGGTAACATTCTTCTGCAAGAATATTCACCACTCTTTCTGCATTATTGCTACAGGCCTATCTGTTAAATCTTAAATACTAATGAATCATTAAAAAGGGTATTAACATATTTGCTGGCCTTATATGTGTGTCTTATTCTTCACAGTTTTATAGCAATTTCTATTAAAAACCTCATTACAGAGATTATTGTGACATGCTTTGAAACAGCAACATTCATTACATATTATCTATGTATTGGAATTTGGGAAATTAATGCACCAGGAAATGAAATGACTCACCCAGGGTCTCTGAAGATATATGTTGAACTCGTGATTAAAATCCAAGCTGTAGATCTGCATTGTGTTTGCTGCACAATCTTTTTTGCTGTTTCTCTTTTTTTCTTTAAACCACATCAGTTTTACATTTAGCTGGAAAATTCCTTTGTGCTGCTTCTGTTGTCAAACAATAATTGGCATTTAGCCAATTACTTTAGTTAAATGTGGCTTGTTTGTGAGCATTCCCTCCTTCTACTTGGGAGCTCAAAGCATGGAGAGAAAATGGGATAACTGGGAAAGAAGAGCCAGGCTGTGGGGAAGGATGGGCAGAGAAATGGAGAGGCAGAGACCAAAGAACTGTTCAGGTGATGGATTGACTGTGAGATGCACTGCTGCTGCTGCTGCTGCTGTTGTGAGTCTTGTATCCACAAATGGTCAGAGTGATGTGGATTTTCCAGCCTTTCTGTTTGGGTGGGGTAGGGGGAAAAGAGGATTAGAGGTAAGGGAGGAATGAAGAGAAGCTGTGAGGCAGCTGCACATTGGGTTTTTCCTTACATTACCCGCTCTGGTGTGTCCACTGCCCAGGTGGAGATGGTAAATATTTATTTTCACAGGCTACACCCTTTGTAAAAATATGATGTTTTATGTGTCTGCTTCCAAACTGTATGAGTGGAATCAACTCTCACAGTGCCTACAGCTTTCTGATTTGTGTCTTGCAGATGTGTTGCCCTTGTCTCTCCAGGGGACTTGTAATGGTGTCTAGAGGGGATTTCAATTGCAGCCTTTAGTGGGGAGACCCAGCAATCCCCTGGTTACAGGGTATTTTTTTATCAGGTATGAATGAGGGATCCTGTCCTTGGGGCCAGCTGCCCAAGAATTCTTGACATTTTCAGTAATTTTGTCTGTTGTAGAGCAAATAAATGTCCTTAGACATCAACATATCATCAATACTTAGTCATCATAAGGAGTTAGAAATTTATTTCTTAACTTCTGTTTTCCTTTCAATGCCAGATGGAGAGAAATGAACAAGAAATTCAGAGCAATAAAATTGCAATTTTCTATATAGACAGATAAGTGAAGAATAATTTTCATTTAAGGGAATATGTCTTCATTTTGGAGATATCCTGAATATATCTTAGCTTTGGTTTGAGGAAACAGATGTGTGGAAAAAATTCATTTGTAATAATAATCGTAAAGAAATTAACATATGCTTATATTTTTCATTCCACTTTAGATTTTGTGGAACACCACTCATCTGTAAACTACTATATGCACATGTATTATTGCATAAAGAATAATATTTCAGGTTAGAGATGTACTTTCTTTTTTTTTGCCTCTTCTGAATCTGCAATGTGAGAACTGCTAGGCAGAAGGTTGAAGATTTAAATGTGGGATCCATATAGTTCCAATGTAGCAGATTTAAAGGCTGTAATGCCACAGAGCATCCAGGAATCTGACCAATTTGACTCATAAATCCTTTCAAATACAAAATCTGCACTATAGTATCTCAAGCTTCCCATTTCCTGCTTTTCTTATCAGTAATGCTTCTGTGTTTCCTGAGACAAGCTAAATGTAAGTTAATCTTTTGATCTGTTTGAAAAGATAACTTTGTCATGCAAATAAAATGAGGCTCAGTCTCCAGTTCTATTCTCATCCATTTAGATTTTTATACTGAGCATCAGAGGAACTACTGACTATCTAGGTGTACCTTGTGAATCCAGATTTTGGATTGCCCATGACAATTTCAATTGCTCAATTAAAATGTAAGTAAGTATTACTCTTAGGAAATAGGAAACTGCTTTAAAAAAATTGTGTCCTATCGTAAGACTTTCTTAATCCTCAAAGCCTGCACGGCTGCGAAGTTCCTGTACTTGAGAAAATTCCCAAAATATCGAAGTAGCAATAAAAACAATATACAAATGAAGAAACAAAGTCTGTAAAAATTTTAATAAGGTGGTTGTGTTTAAAATAATTTGGAAAACTAAGCTCATGAGTATAACAAAATATTTTGCATAAAATACTTTTCTGTATTTGAACAATTTTTTTTTATTTGTAACATATCTGGTGAATCTGTGAGTGTGGTGAGGCAAAGGAGTAGTTTTCCCTGAAATGTTGTGGATGTCCCATCCCTGTAAACATTCAAAGACAGGTTGGAGGAGGCTCTGAGCAACCTGGTCCAGTGGAAGGTGTCCCTGCCCATGGCAAGTGGGTCAGAACCAGATGGTCTGTAAGGTCCCTTCCAGCCCAAAGCATTGTATGATTCTGTGGTTCTATGATTCTGTGAATTCAAAGTATACCACTTCCTCATAAAACAGAATCCCAATCCTGTTTAGACAAATACAGTATCTGCCACAATTTCACTTACTACAACAGTGAACATGATTTCCCACACAGGGAAAAATAGAAAATCACTTGCAAAAGCAAATAAAATCACAAGGAAAGAAAAAAGAAAAAAAAAGTCAAGGTTTATTGACATCTCACACTGAAATTCAGATTTCTTCTTCCCCACAGAGTCACTCTCTGTAAGAAGAAAATTTAAAAAATACTTGAAATTTCTGTGAAAATTGTTGCAGATAACAAGAAGACAAGAATCATGTCAGCTTAAGAGATTGAGAAAAGTAACCTTTATAAGTTTTTTCTAAATTTTCTAATAATATATTTATATAACTATATTAGCTTTTATTTATTTCTAAAAGTAAATTCAGGTAGTACAGCTTTTTGAGTTAAAAAGTTGCATAGAGTAGAATTTCCTTATTCATCGTTTGGTGGATTCTGTTTGTTGGTAAGGTGAAGTAGAAATAAGTGCAACTGTAACAATGTGGAATTACAATTGCAAAATGAAGTAATTGGAAAAATTGAAAATCATAGAATCATTTAGGTTGGAAAAGAACAGTATGTTGTATTATCCTAAAAGATGCCTAATTTTGTACAGATAAATGTATGCACATTCTGATTTCCAGTCAGGTTGTTGCATTGTGGAAGGTGTTTTGAGCAGCTGGGATGATGAGTCCTTCTCTAGCTTGTGCAGGCTATTATTCACCTGAAATATTAACTTCTGTTGTCAGCTTTTGTTCAGATTACACTTATTTATTCATTAGAGAATTTTAATGGGTTGATTCAAGCTTACTTTTGACTTCAAATTAGTCATATTGTTCCAATTTCAAGCAGCTCCATAAAAATGTGGTTTGCCGAAGTGCAAAAATACTTGCAGTTGTCCCAGGAAAAATCCATTAAAAATGTAAGAGTGAGGCTTGTTTTGACAAATTTCAACATGAGTCATGAATACTCAGGATTCTTACACCTTTGAACACGAATTTTCAAGCTGCATAATTTTGATCCCAAAATAATACCTCATGACATATTATCACAAATAAATCCTCCGACCTTAAGATGTTACTTTTTATAACTAGTCACCAATTTATGACCTATAGAAACTGTCTTATCTTCTCTTTAGATTATTTTAATCCCTGAAGAATAGATAAATGTTGAACTGTGGTGTCTGAAAAAAAAAAAAAACAGTCCATTTTGGATACATAGCCTGGAAAATTTGTGTTTTCTTCTGGTGATAAACCCTGAAGATCCCTGCTTCATCAGTTATTATAGTATCCATGCATATTGCAATAGATTCATTGGTAATGAAAACTTTATTCTGAGATTGATTTTGGTGGGAATTAGACAATTTCTGATGCAACTGCACTGAGGCCTCCAACTTGGTGTTTCTCAGAATGTGAAAGTAAGAAGCACATGGTGTTTTTCATATTCCAAAAGTGAAAATATCCTGTCAGGGGGGCACTAGATGTGCAGAGATTGAATAAAATCATGTCACACTGTAGTCACTGATTCCACATTCTTTGAAAGGGACTACACAGTTCTTTTTATTATTGGCCTGCAGCTTTGTGGAAGTAAGGTTGCTTTCTTATTCCTAGTTTGCATCTTTTTTTTTTAATCATATCACAGCAGATATAATCAAAATTCAATAGTGGGGCTTGGAAAAATTTTAACAGTTCAGTGACATTCACAAATTAAAAGTAATAATAATTCGTAGGTTTTGGGGGTTTTTTCAGCAAATTTTTTTGCAGTGTTTTTGCTTGTAATGGTACCAAAGTTTTTTCTGGGTTTCTCTATGAATCTAATTTTCAGTTATGTTAATACTGAAACTGAATTTCTGTGTGTGCTTTAGCCAACATGGAAGCATAGTTTGCAGATTCATCTGCAAAGCTTACTGAGAAAGTGAAAATGCAGTGCATATATCCAGAAAAAAAGAGCTGTGATAATCCAGACATCCTGGATGAAACTTAATGTAACTCTTAGAGAAAATACAGCTGTCTTGAATCCAATCTATGGCATACATATCAAAGACAAATACAATAGAAGAATTTATTTTGAAAATACTGCCCTTCATCAAGAGCACTTTGGAAGATGATGGTCTCCATTATAACCAACATTTTCTCCATTGTAACTAATCCAGATGGAATTTTGAAAAAGGTAATAGAAACTACTCAGGTCGTCAAATATCTCTTTTTTTTTTTTAATTTCAGATATATGCAAGACAGAAATCTATGCCAATTCAGGGATCATCTGGCATTGCAACTTTTTCTTTAAGAGATTTTTTTTAAAAAACGGAAAAGGGAAGAAGGAAGAAAAAGATCTCTCTATGCCCATGTATTTTCTGTGTAGCTGTCTACGTACTTTCCAAAAACCCTGTAATTACCTAACCACTCATCCCATTTGGTTTCCCTTTCACTCCTATGACTAAGAGGAGAAAGAACTCTTTTCTAGTAATTTTCCATGCACGCCTAATCAACATGGGTCAACTGAAAACTGAAAACTTAGGAGAATCATTATGTACATATGACAGAATAGCCTTCAAAAAATAAGCAGTTGGTCTTATTGTTTTGTTGATTTGGGAGTCACAATGTAGAAAAATTATACTCCTCTCTTCCATTCCCCTGAGTGAAAAGAGATGCCATTCAACATTTGATTGTATTTCCCAGCTAGGAAATAAAGGATCAAAAGGAAATTTCTGTTCCTAGCATTTGAAAGGCAGGTAAAACACATCTCTTATTTGGTTCAACCCCACCTGACTTCTGGCAATGCAAAGCCCTTATACACAATGGGTCCATTTTCTATATAATTCTGGAAGTTAGATGCAGTAGAGGTCTGGAAGTTCTTGTAGTCTTTTTTCTGGCCAAGGCAGCACTGATACCAGCTGTTTGTTCCTGGATGCCTCTGCTAGAGTTAATCTGAAATGATGCAAGAAACAAGGCAGTCACCTTCATGTGGAATGATCCTCTTCTGTCCAGCACCTCTATTAGGCAATCACCTTACAGATTTGAGTACCCTGTAAATCACACAAAAAGTGGATTTAATAGCAGAGGTAAGTTTTCTTGGAAATGATTCTGTAGGTTTCAGTATTCTCAGCATGTGGGATTTCTCTCCTGGTTTTAGCACGCTAAAAATGAAACCTTAATCAACAGCAAACCCCTCATGTTTCAAGTATGTCTATTTAAATCAACTACAAAGGTAGGCAATGATTTTGAATAGAAATTAATCCTTTTCCATTTAAAGAATCAAGATTTCTGAGAACAATCCTGTTCAGCTCCTGGTAGATACGTATAAACATGATCTGATCTGAGGAAAATGGAGTGTATTGCCAGCAAAGATAAATATTACAGCTTTAATCTACACAGCAAATTAAATATGTTATTAAAACCAGAGTCTATAGAATGTATTTATTTATGAAGTAGTCATAGTAGAACTGTTTTCTGTCAGACTTTATCTTACTTTACCAGCACCTTTGTCAGTACCAAGTATTTTAACTCCTGGACAACATGTTGCTGAGACTAAATAAACAGTAAAATTCATATCCATGCAGACAGTATTTTAGCTTGCTGCTGACACCAGATACCTATTTTTTCTTGTCTTCCAAACTGTAAAATTAGGACATTGATGTTCATCTTTAAAGTCTTTTTTTTTATCTGCACCAGAGTAAGAGTATTGAGAAAGCTGAGTGTTAGTCTCATATTTTAATGTGTATCAATCTTGTTCTAAAAGATTCACATAAAAAATAATTGGGGTCCTGGTATAGTAAGTGCTTTTTAAGGAAAATAAAGAAATCTGGCCAACATACAATAATGATCCTTTTATAGGTAATTAAACTTTTTTTCCAATTACAGTGTGGGTTTTTTTGTTTGGAGTTATACGTTGATTATTGATTCCCAATAGACATTACTTTTCTAAAAGCGTTAATTTATCTACAGTTCTCCAGACAAATAAACAACTCACTGCAAAATCCATTTCTTCTTCTTCAATTAATCAACAAAAATTTAATGGACTAATTTCTTTTTCTTGTGATTTGCATGTATCTAATGTTTTGTAATTCATGTTTTCAGTTTTAAATATAGATTGGCTGAGCTAAAGTTGTGAAGTGTGTGCCTGAAAAAGCATGCAACTGTGTGTGTAACTTTTTCATATATTCAAGATGAAACTTAAGCTTGCTCTGTGAATTGGCACAGTGAAGTTAAGTAGGTATTATTAAGGTTTTTGTGTCAATCAAAACTGAAGCCTGGTTTATAATTTAAAGCATGCCAGCAAGGCATTGAAAATTGTTAGGAGTTATTTATAATGACCTGTTACTGTTGGACACAGAGACATTCCAGCACCAACTTAGGCAGGTAACTATGCCATTGAGGAATCTGCAGTGCATACTTCAATGAAAGCTGACAGCAGCCTATAGATGTAGAATATATGATTGGCTTTCAAAATTTCCATTGAAAGGAAATAGCAGAAATAAATGAAATAATGCCATATGGCATTATGCTCATGATGGAGACTTCTTAACTAGACTAAATGTGAAATGTTCTTCACATGTCAATCATATCTGCTGGCATTTACATAAATTTGAATAAAGTATCTTGGGTTAACTTTTACTGTCTTGCAAAACAATGAATGTTTCTGCACTCAATCTGTTCCAAGTTGCTCTAATGCTTCATTCCTGGTAATCAACAGAGTTCAGGAGTCTGATTCTGCTTTCCCTTGTTCTTTGTATAGTTTTTAAAAGTTCTAATACAAAGTGAGTAAATTTAGCGTGAGTCTGAGTAAAGATTTCAAGCTGTATCCAGTGGTGACAGCAGTGCCTCTAAATCCAGAAACTCACGTGGTAACAAAACCCTGACACTACAAGATCAAGACATTAAAAAAGGTTGGGGATCATGACTTGCTTTTCAAAACAAAAGCAGAAAGAGAAGAAAGAAATCAGGTTTTTGAAAACCATTTAGCATGTTTTTCTTAGTATTTTGACAATATCTCTATTTTCCTTTAAAGTAAAGGTATCTTCATAAAAAGAATGTCCGTGGTGGTTGCACTCTTTCATGTGGAGTAAAGATATATTGAATGAATAAGAGACCACAACAGATTTATAGTGTCTGAGGTTTCAAAACAGTACTGGAGAAACTCTACTTAGAACTCTTCTTGTGGCTCAGTCTCTGGTCTCAGAACAGCAATTCACCCCACCATGGTCTTGGTGGGGTGAACACAGCTCTTCTTCAATCAAGGACAAAAGTGAGGAAAAAAAAAGAAAAATGATGGCTGAACTGGCATAAGGACCTGAGATCCTAGGAGACACAGGAGACTATAACTCTCATTACAGAGATCTCTTGATGTACTGTCCTCCTTGTTGGTAGATGGAAGACCCTAGAATTGGTGATAAATCACCACTTATATAAAAATTTTTGATGCAATAATTCTAGTGATAGAATTTTTTTTTTTTTTTTTTTTTTTACTAGATGTGGTCTTAACTTATTCCTGGAGATTTATCAGAATATATAATAAAATCATAGACATATATTGTTCCTTTCTGCCATGAATTTTGGCTGAAGGTTTCCTATGGAATTTGTGAAAGAGGTGAGACTTGCAGACTGCACAATGTTATCCATGCTTTCTTTATGCCCAGTGACTGAAGCAGTTACTGGAACAGACTGACAGAAAAGAAATAATATTCAGGATATTATATCAGAAACTTGACAGGTTATGTAGCTACAGGATATTCTTACATGTGGATGCAGTGCTGAAATCCTGCACCATAAAGGAAGAACTTGAGAGTTCGTGCTGCCTCTTTTACACATGAATGTATGGGTAAAGAACACTCTAGTTATCCCACAGGAAGATGCTTGCCAGCTGGGTGAATCTGAGGCTTCTTTTTTTTTTTTTTTTTTCTTTTTCCTCCTTGCAGAGTGAGCATATATCCAACAGTTTTCAGAACTGAATTCAAGGGACTTTTTTTATCTTCAATGTTCCCACATTATATGAGTCACAATCACAAATCCTCCTGCACTAAGCAGACAAAACACTTACTTTCAGAGAAAAATTCTTTACATATTTTCTAAGATACACTGATTATGTAAGAATAGTCAGTATCTTTATTCCATCATTCTTAATGAACAGTTTAAAAGTGATCTGTAGTTTCTTAGGTACAATGCTTAGGGATGTATGTCTGAAGACTGATTTCAAGTTCAGTATAAAATGTGAGGCGCAGAGATTGAAGTCACTATTAAGAGAAGAAGCATTACAATTGAAGACATCACACAGGAATCGTTGATCATTGAAGAGATGTTAATTCATGCACTTGTTGACTGGAAGAAAAGGTATTTGAAGCTGCAGATGTTGAAACTTTAATTTTTTTAAAATTTCAAATGGAAGAGAGCAGTGTACAGGGACAGTCCATTGGACAGGGCTGTATGGAGGTACATCTTTTACTTTTCATCCCAGGTGACCACTCAAAACACATTAAACAACAGTGACATTTCACCAGTTGCCAGACACGTATCTAACAGCAGCAAAGCAGCAGCAGGAATTCCTGCAATCCTTCTTTCTTTTGTTTTAAACTATTAACTTTTGAAAAGAAAGGTATACAGTGAAAAGATATGTCTACAGTCTTTAGAACATAAAAAGAAAACATTGAATGACTTTAATTTATAAAAGTGTTGGAAGAAGTATTGGGAAATTTCCTTTATTCTTTATATGATGTGCATTGTCTTTTTCTGGTTTGTCCGATATTTGATTACCTCTGTCCACTTGAGGTATGGATACATTTATTTATTTTATCCTTTTCCAGACCTGTCCTTAATCCTTTGGTTCCCTTCTGCTCTGTTAAAGCCATCAGTACAAAAGTCACTCATCTGTGATGGTTTTTTAAAAAGTACGAATAAAGTATCAATTTACAGAAAAAGAGTTTAAGGAATTATTCTGGCCAGGAAATTCAGGTTTTTTCATGTCATCTACATATCTGCCTTAAACATCTTAGTCTGTTGTTTTTCAGCTGTACTTGACTTCATGGAGCATTATAATAAGGGCGTATAAACAGAAAAGCTAAGATGTCAACAGACAAATATTGGGTTTAAAATATGATTTCCATCAATATCTGTGCATCTAGAACTTAAGAATTCTCAAACCTGAAGCGTATTCCTGTCTTGTTCCCAATCTGGCAAAATAAATTAGTGATAAT